AAGAGTTCTACTCTGCCAATACACAGGAATTGAAATGGATAAAATAGCCGACGGGGGAACTTCTCGAAGGGAGCTGAAGTCGTTAACTTGATGCGCTCGGAGCAGATAGAACGAGCCAGGCGCAATGTAGGAGCCCATGGAGACGAGGACAGCGTATCGGGCGGGATACTATTGGAATCCTTCTCGACGTGTACTTTCGGTAATGACGTCGAGCCCGAGCGGACTCGTTGCTCAACTGACAATGAGTTTTCATCACTGATCCGATATCGCCGTCCTTCGATGAATACTACGGGGCAACGGGAGGAAAAGGTCCCGCTTCGCGAATGATCGCAATGAATTAGACAATTGCGGATCGGGTCAGACGAGGGGGACCCCGGAGTTCTTCCCGGAGCACGATCTTGCTGTATGACGTCAGAATTTGATTCCTGTCCGCGCATGAGATTAAGGTGCGCATCGCTCATTCAAAAGTCAGGAGCGGTCGATTTCAACGACAGCTCTGGCAAATATGAGCCGCCGCGGTCCCATAACTCGAGATTCGGATGATGGAACGACCCAGATCGTGCGGACAAGAGATCCACGATCTTACGTTTGTCTTTCCCGGAATGAAATGAATCGTACCTCACTCTGGCACGAGGAGCTTCACTAAAATGAAACATGTTCGAAGGAGAAGCCTCATCTTTGCCCCGGCAACCGAGAAATCACTGAGGCGGTCTCTCATATGATGTTATAACCGGGGACCGCATCAGATGCAGAATCTCCGAAGAAAGGACCGTGGTCCGAAATGACCTTGCTATTCAGAGGATATTCCCCATTTCGCTCCATTCCCTTTTCGTCGATTTTATAGCTCCACACATCAGCAGGGCCTACGTTTTTAATATCCATTCATCATCTTCATAAAAATTCGCCCTGGCGCAGAATACGGCGAGAACATGGGAGCAGGCGTCGGAAATCAGGCGGGCATGACCAGCATCTCGCATCTTTCAGTATGGCCCTACGGCGGAGAAGTTTTGTTTGCGTGAGAAGGCTCTGATGAGCTCCCTGACTGCGAATGGATGATCACTGGGTTCCGCATCGAACGCCATGGATCGACGGAAGGATTCCCTCGCAGCCCGCGGAGATTCAAGTCCGGGAATCCAGAATCGAGTGTCCCCTCTCCGGAAAGATACGAGCCATGCAAATATATGCCATATGAGCAATTTAAATATATGCCATGTGAATATTTGTCATTTAAATACATGCCATATAGATATATGCCATATTTTAAGGGACACGTCCATAGCTACTATTGAGCCGTGGGTCGAGCTTACAGAAGCCGTACGACCCGGCCAGGAGGTCGCCCGATTCGGCTCGCAGTCTCCCATTATCGGAGTCTCGCGGCCAATATACTGACATCACTCGGCGCAACAAACAATCGCACTCGCAGTAGTGACGACGAAAGCGGCACGTTTGCTGCTTGTTAATGAAGCGCACGGCCGATCTTTCAATTGAAGATACGCATTTTGGAGTCCGCGGGTCACGTACGGCTCGTCTCGCAGCCGACGACGCAGCAGCTCGTCACGATACGGATTTCTCCGGAGCCTTTTGCGGGATGTCGGTCCTCTTGCGAATTAGTTCTCGACTCTTCCAACTCTCTCTTATCGCGAACGATATTCGACAGCCTATCCCGACCATAATGATCCGAAGATTACCTCACAATCCGCACTCTCGCATGTCTTTCATCGCCTGGGATGTAAGGAAGGAAGACCATCATCGTCTTTGCATAAAGCATGAAAAATAATTATGATCCGCGGTGATCTTTATTCCGACGCCGCAGTCACCGATAATGCAGCTGATGGAGCTCGATAGGTTCGATTCGATCTACGAACTTCGTCCCATCCGCGCTTACTCCCATCCGCTGTAATTGAGGTAATAATGGGATTGTAAGGAAAGTCGTAGGAACGAGCTGCGCATGGCAAAGACGGAGCCATGGACCCCTTGGGAGAGTGTTGGCAAATCGGATACTGAAGCTTCTGGAATCGAGGACGAGGAGCACTCCGAGTCTTCGGAAAACTTAGGCTAAGTTATTCCGTGACAGGTCGAATCTCTGGGGGCTGGTGGGTGAGAAATCCTGAACGCGTCATAGTTTCGAGGAGATACCTCAAAAAAATGGGAGCTCGTCTGAGGAGTCAGCGTCAGGCGGACCTTCTCCCTCTAGTATAGTATTTCCGGGCTTGTTCTGCCGCATAGCTCCGAGGGGATACTTGAATGGGAGCTCGTGTGAGAAAAGAGGGGCCGTGAGGACGCTTATTTTTCATTCGGTTTCCTTGAGGCCTCAGACTCAGGCCGACGACATCGCATATGGCGTCGAGTGTTTTCGTTTCTCCCTCCCACCCTCCTCGTCTCCACGGATGACCCATCGCTGCGCAGGACTCTGCTCTTTCCGAGAATATACGGCCAGGCTCTGAGGTGCTGAAATCCTCCGACCCAAGATCCTCTCTTGTTTCTGGATCGATCCATCCCTTTTCTTCCAGCGGACGGAATCCCGACGTGTCGGCGTGCTTATTGTTGTCATGGAATAGAACAGAATAAAAACGGGTCGGAGAAACTCGAGGGAAATGATCGAGCTCAGGTGTTTCCCTCATCCTGTTCACTCCCATTCGCAGGGGAATCCAGGAGGCTTTGGGGAAAAGAGTTCTTTGCGTCATGGAATTTTTCTTCTGCAATCCGTGTTTTCTGTGGAGCGGAGCCTAATTCACGGTGTGCCCCCGAGAGCCTACGCCGGCCCCGCGTTGAAATCCGAATCCCGGACCACGAAGCCCCGCGTTATGACGATGACGCAGTCTTTCAGAGTCTACGCCAAGAAACGAGAAGAGAATGAGGACAAAAAGCTCTATAGACGAAATAATTCATCCGCCGCCTAATCTCAGAAGGTTTTTCTTTCAGACGTCTCCCGAGTGCACGACAAAGCTCTCTGCTGGGCAAACGCCGTAGGCGAGACCTTTCGCTACTTCGTCAAAATCAACCCTCCTGACTGCATGGGTCCGTTCATCCTCGAAGAATGATAGATTCCGAGTCGCTTGAATAGAGAAAGTCTCCTTCTTTTTTCACATTCCTGGCTGCGCAAATCCCCGTTGAAGCATACCGCTCCAAAGATTCCGTGAATAGGTTATGATAAAAGAAATAGGCATCTAAGTATGTGAAGCATTCGCATGTGAACATCCGCACTACATGTATCGAAAGCCTGGGCGGGACGCGACGCGACTGTGATTATCGGAGCGAGATGCCCCGGAATGTTTCACAAATTACGCGACTTATTCCTTTAAGTCGACATGTCTCCGTGCCATCCCCTTGCGAGGGCCGAACGTCGCACATCGAGCGGAGGGACGGAAGCATAAGCTCCGTCAAGTATCCGTCAATGTCATTTAAAATATTTGCGTCTTCGATTGCTTTCGGGCGTGGAAGCGATCTTAAGAATGGAGCCTGGCGCGATCGGAATGCCGATCATTTATGTTCCGCGAAGGAAGTCGCGACGATAGTGATCTTCTTGATGACGCCTTTAGGGATCCTCCGTGACTCTCCGCACTCTCCTCAATTTTCAGAACCTTGTTCCAGAATCTCTCCGAGAGAATGAGGCTTGTTCCAACCTCCCCGCCGTGTGATATTCATATACTCCCAATGTGCTCGTCCGAGCCTCGTAACAATTCCATCGAACATCAAGAATGGTATACATTCCGCCTCACTTCTCGTTCCTACTGACTTTCTAGGAAAAGAACCTGAACGACGATCAGCGAATATCTCTCTTCACATCAGTGCCGCAACCTCCGTTACGCGAGAGCGACGCGATAACGAGCCTTTCATTGACAACTCGGAGGCTCGCCGCACTCCGGCGACGAAGCTACTGATATTCTCGGGTGTTTCCTCTCTGCCGACATGGACCGTTCTCCTGATCATTTCGAGATTTTTCTCACCCGGAGATGAAGCGAGTAGCGTTCGATTTGATGGAATGATTTCGGATCCCACGTACCCAAGCGCTGCCGGACAGAGCTCTCGCATTGGTTAAATGAACTCACGATTATTTTTGAGGACGGAGCCCGAGCGCCGTGATACGATGTATTGCGTTTGATAAGCGTTCAGTGGTCGAAATTCTACATTCTGAGTGTGAGCCATTTTGGATCCAGGAGGGATGAATTCAGGGCCGAATGAAGCGCATCAAGAACTTTGGACCTATGGAGTCACGCTGCCCGTAAAGCAGCGAACATGAAATCTATACGCAGTACCGCAAGTTCCGGCGTTCGCCTAGAAATATTGCGAGCAGATAACGATATTGTATCCGAGAGCTTTACGACCAGATACGCAAGGCGGCGGCGAGACGAAAGGGCTCCGAGACTGCGAGGCTCAAGGGTCGTCTGTTCAAACAAGAATATGCATGCTCTCGGACGGTCTTGCGTTTCTAAAAATGTGGCGACAGCTGCGATGAAAGATACGCAGAAGCGAGAATATATATCTAAATGAAGTGAAGGAGCCACTCGAGAATAACCTACCGTTCGCGGCGCCCGCCGCTGACAATCAAGAGCTGCTTGACAAGGCCGAATACCTTTTTTCGAGCCCCAATAAAACCTTATCTTTCCCCGGGACGATAACACATCCCTTGAGTGATCGTGTCTGGAAACATTTCTCATTCCCTCATCCCAATAGACTCCGCATGTAGAGCGGATATTTCACTTGAAAACTTGAAATGGAGCCGAGTTGGTATTCGCTCCGTCCACGCTCTACAAGGCTCCTCCACGGGGAGTATCATGATGTCTCCCTCCATTCGGTGTGTTTCAGCATGAAAATTTTTTATTTCGGGCCGCTGAAGTCAGGTCCCGAGAGCTCCGAATCGCCTAATCATGCCCGAATCTCCTCTCTCGCGCACTGGGCGGAGATCACTGCTATCTTCGCTCTTCGCTCTTCATCCCGCTTTGACCGAAAATACGATCCCTACCTCCAGGAAGCTTCAAGCAACAGATCTCGCGTACCAGCCGGATTTTCGGTCCAATATCAATGGTTCATCTTTATTCGCCTATAGAATCTTGACATCAAGTGCATGGATACTTCACCGAGCGACGAACAAGTATGGACAACTTCTGTGGCCGTGCCATCAAGTCATCGGTGGAGTCCACGCTAACGGCCTCGACGACGACGCTCAGCCCCGCAACGGAAATGACGAATGTAGGCTGCGAACTATCAACGGGACGAACCAATTCGCATGAGAAATGCATATCGAATTTCCTTGCCCACACGGTAATAAGAACGCGGGCCGACGGGAGAAGGAAACTAGAGGAAGCGAATCTCGCCGCAAAACATCGTAAAAATAGTTTCTCAGTCTGACGTAGCCTCTATCTCCAGTCGGGGAAACTGGACGAGGAACTCGCTCTTTCTTTCACACAATTTATCCGTCCAGGGTCCTCTCTATTGCGAACGCTCTTCTCTCCCTTTATACCTTTCAGAAAGGCTGTAAATGGCAATAATGACGCATATTTGGGGTCATTTAGTGTTACAACACTCGGAGCTGAGTCTGTATACAACGCAATCACATTCCTAGAATTATTTGAATCAACAAAGTTCGCCGATCGGAGCGTTCTCCAGCCAGAGATCGTGCATAAAACTATAGAGCTTCTCGGATACGGAAACCTTGTACGGCGTGGGGTTGAGCGTCCGTTTGATGTCGGCTCGTAACGACTCCATTTGCCCGAGGACCCGGTCTCGGAGCTTCTTCAAATCCGGCGCGTGCTCTTTAACGACGCCATCGCCCCAGTACAGCTGGTGGAGCAGTTCGACCTTGTTGGGACAGACGTACGCTCGTTTGGTTTCTTCGAAAGGATGACGACATAGGACCTGCGGCATCAACCTCTGATTAGTTCAACCTGCGCTATGAGGGAAACCTCAGTTCCTCGTCGGAAGAATACAGACGCGTCGTCCGCATTCTTAGTCTGGCGTGAAGCTCCCTGGCAAGCATGACTCATATAGCGTAATGTTCCGTTTCATTCGACCCCGGCCGGATCCCGCTACTGGGATGATCTGTAGTAAGGAAACCGGAAGAAGGAAGAGTACCCTGGCACAAGTTCTATCTTGTACATTCAAGGTCGTCAAGATCTCGTCTAAATTGTTGAAAGCCTCTTTGCACCTATCTGACTCCTGACGGTCGAGCTTTGCCTAATCTCCTGTTTAGACACTGTTCAAACTCGCCGAGAGTTAATGACCATTAGAACATCTGCAGAGGTAGAATCTGGATCTGAGCGTGCCCAGCAAGCCGTATCGGGACGACACCGTAATTTAGTGCGCAATTTAGCTGAATGCCGTATGATGGGTAGTAATGTGTTTTTGAGGGAGACCCGCTGGACTGATCTCGACGATTCGGATTCGGTAGAACTGAACAAGCCGTGCAAAGTGTGTTTGCATGCGTGGAATATACTTGACAGCAGTCGTCATGATCCACTCGGATGAAACCGCGACGAGAGCCCGCACATGGTCACGTCGGACGGGACGGGAGCGTCGTCGGTGGCAGGGTTTCTCTACGTCTCCGAAGCGATCGCGTCGCATGGTGTCGCCTCCCTCGAATGAATATTCCGCATACCGATGAGTCATGCTTGCCGTTCTCCAATCACATTGAGACCCAGATGATTCTCGTCCGTCACTCTCTCAAATCCCGCGAACTTCACGTAACGGAAACGACAAAGCGTCGCAGGGAGTCGGGTGATTGAGAAGACATTAGGAGGTTCCCAAAGTTGCGGTGCATCAGCGGGAGAATGTTCGGAATCTCAATGTGATCAGGGGAATTTCCTCGGGTCACCGATCTCTCGACTTCAATTTTGATAGAGCGGACGGAGAATTCGAATTTCTCCGACCAAGGAATCACGGGCTCACCTTGGATCCAACTTCAGGAGGATTCTCATCGTTCAATTGCATCAAGTCCAATAGTGGATGCCCGTCTTTTCCGTATAGCCGATAGACTTTTTTCTGTCCGGGTATCGTGACCTTGTTGATGTCATTACTGAGTTTTATACACGGCTCGTGGCCGATTTCGACCAATTTGTAGACACAACCCAATGCTGGCTGCTTCTGGCACGTGACCAGATGCGTGCCGATTCCATAAGAGTTGATACTATGGCCTTGTTCGTTTAGTGAGATCACAGTTTCTTCGTTGATGTCGTTGCTGACGACAATTCGTAAATCGGCGAAGTAAGGTTTGTTGTACTTGCTTGAGATCGACTGGAAGCACTTATAGGATACCCTCGACAAGTAGGCCAGGTCACCAGAATCTATACGGATGCCGATGGCTCGATATCCGCATTCGTCGAGGGCCATGGCCACTGCACAGAAGTTGATCAAGCCGGACCGAATAACGTCGTACGTGTCAACGAGTCCCAGGAAGTTCTCCGGGAAGGCCGAGGCATACGATATGAAAGCACACAGTTCGCCGTCGTTCGCTTTGCTCCTCGATTCGAACATCGATGCCCGGAGGAGTGTGTCGCGCCACTTGAAGCTAAGCTGGCGGAGATTGTGTTTCTGGCCCGTGGTTTTGTGCGTTAGCGTGGCGTGCTGCAGGGCCGCGGCGCCACTCGTCGAGGCGAAGCTCATCACGAACGCGTGGGCGTGAGTTCCTCGAACAGGAATCCCGAACAGTTTCCCCGCCATGACGTTCGAGGTTCCGTCGAATCCTCCCAGATAGGAGTATTTGGACGCTGAAAGTCCCCCGTTGGGTCCCTGAGCTCTGCGGAGACCGAACTCCAGCAGTTCGGCCTTTGGACCTGTCGCCAGACGAAACCTCGCGGCATTAGTCGCGACCAACGACGCATAGTTGATCAGGTTCAGAAGTGCCGTCTCCAGCAGCTGCACCAATGCCAACGGACCTTCGACGCGCAGTAGCGGGAGTCGGGGGAACACGACCGTGCCTTCCGGAATCGCGTACAGTTTCACCTCTCTCGCGGTCAGCTTTGCGAGATACTCGAAGAACTCCGGTTTCGCACTTGGCAGTTCAGCCTTCAGATACTCGATGTCGGATGCGGAGAAGCGGAACTTCCGTAGAAACTCCACGCAATCGCTGAGGCCGGCGAAAATGGTGAATTCGCCATGGAAGGGATTCACGCGGAAGAACAGGTCGAAGACCGCGTTGCTCGCGTGCGTCCCCGCAGACCAGTACGCGTACGCCATCGTTATCTGGTACATGTCGGTCAGCAGCGGCTGCACAACACCGTCGAGGCCCGACATTGTGTAATCGTAGTCACAGAGACTCTGCAATTGCACCGCTTGAGTCATTGGGGAATATTTCTTGCGTAAAGATAGCGGAATCTAATCTTTAGAAGCTTATAAGCGAGTGGCGCTCATCAACTCTACAGGGTCCGCCGGCAACGTCGCAGGTGAACCCCGCGACGACAACGAGAGCACGCGATCAAGCGGACGACCCACAACGAAAACGATAAGAGTACCACCGGAGTCGGCCAACTCGATCAGATCAGGGGAGTGGGAATCCGCGCATCTAAGATACTCGAAGACGTTTCCTTCGGTCGATAGCGGGCGGAAAAAGCTTTAGCGTCGGCTGATTGAGAATACTCCTGCTCGCACTCGGAAGCTCATTCGCTCGCATCGGATTCACACGGCACGGAGGGGAATTTCAGGAACTTTCGACAATAATGCTCCCCTTATTTACACACAGAGCAGACGGTTTCCAAACGCTTCAGCCGTGTGTGATGATGATGATGATGATAACCACAAACCACAGCTGACGAGAAGCGAACACCACCAACACTCACATCGATCCTTTCCCTATTCGATTCTTCCGCTCAGGTGGCCGCCGACAGAGACAAGTGGATATTCGGGAGCGACTTGACCGGAAGCTCCGTCACGACATCCGTCCATGTCGGTCGGTCGGGCGGATCCACGGTTGCAGCGACGACTTCACAGCGAGCTACGGTCTTGTTGACGCTTCGAAACATCTAGACACGTGCAAGGAGCGCGAGGGCGCACGCATGCGCGAACCCGATCGTTACGGAGTGAGTTTCTAGCGCGCGCGGTTAGAGAGAGTGAGAGAGACGAAAAAGACGAATGAAGATGCCTGCCCCGCGCTGTGCAGCTTCCTGGAGCTGTCCTTTAGATTTCTAAGGCGGCGTCGATCATTGATGATTCTACACCGTCATCGCCGACTCCATCGTTCCCGTCGTCGTCGTCACTAGCCCCTGAACATTGTCCCGAAACAACAACTACATACATACATATCTTTAGATCGAGTGTCTGTTCCTTTGATCCTGCCTCAGAGGGAGTGACTCGACGAGGGAGGGCGTAACCGAGAAATCTCCAGAAATAACTCACAATCAATTATGTGTACATCCATGGAACTCAGGAGCGTAACACCAACGCAAACTTTAGTTAGGTCATGGTCTGCATCCTCAATGGTGACGCGCTTCCTCGGTGGGAGATCCGATAACGGAGTTGACCGACGATTCCGAATTCCGATACGAAACCTGCCTTACGTGTTCGAATCGAGGATCTCAGTGAGCGCTGGGCGAGCTCGTTGTGTGATTTTTATAAGCGGAGCCCTTTCGTCTCTCTCGTGAGAGATTGGTAATTTATAGGTAGATTCCGAGCGATGCGAATCGATTACATCGCCTTGCCGAAGACGTCAGCGAAATTCCACCCCTAAATAGGTATCAATCGACGAGAGCACAGCGGTTAGTTCAGTTCGGGTGACAAGGGCGATCTCATCTCTCATTCGGTCGCATTATGACGGTCTCAATGGAGAAGATCACGCGAGCCTCTCGTCGTGGATTTGTACAACCCCGGTGAAGTCACTCAACGATTGCAGCTTTTCCTCCGGAGACTGCGATTGGTTTCGTTCCGAACAAGTTTCAGTCTCTACCGACCTCTGTAGTGCCTCGGGGGCGGGAGGGGAGGCTGTCAAATTCGACAGCGACCCTATCGTTCATACGACGGCTCCGCATCGTTCGTCTCGCGGATCCTATGTACGTCGACTTGAATATTCTGACGAGAATAAAAGTCGGGACGGCAGGCGGAAATCCTCTCCGTGGATTTCCGATGCGCACGACGTCGATTGCCGCAAGTTGTCTCCTATTCTGCCAGAAACACTTGTCAAAGACGATTTGGCAAATCCCAGAGATTGAGCGCAAGGGATCTGGGAGACATCTCTCACGAGTAAACATGTGCCAGAATGTACTGTCGGATACAGTTCGAAAGGTGAGGCATAACTCAAGGCTTACGCCGCGCGCGGCTCCGCTGAGCTCCTCGGGTTCCATCGAAAAGCTCCACAGTAAAACAGAGAGGTCAAAGCTATATCCACGGAGAAATATGTTTCGGATGGCGAACTCTTATGGACTCCCCCCCCCGGTGGTTCTGTGCGACTCACGGCATTAAAATCGTGTGGTTTAGTCACCTCACTCACCGAAAATCGTTTTCGTGGTCCACTTCTCATTTTTCAAGGAGACCTCCAACGTTTGTAGCGATCTGTTTTCTATGCGAGACTATCTGTTCGCCCGGTTTCCGCTTTTTCCCGGACAACGGAGCGAGAACATCTCTCCTGGAGAGAGGGACGTTTGTTTCCACGTCTACCATTCATTACACTCATCGGAGGGTCCCGTTCTGTCGACCGCATCTCTATCGGTGACCGGCCGTGAGACTTTTTCCCGGAGAATGTACCGTATAGAATGTTGCATCCATAATAGCATCGGGTAATTGGGATAATTCTCGGAAATTGGACGCCGCACCGCTACCACAAATAATATCCATTGCCGCAGTGTGACATTTTAACTTCCATTTACATGGCAGCGGGTATCTTGCTCGATGCTCCCCCGAGAACCGCTCAAACAGGGCATGCCGCATTAATCCTCCGGTGCTAATCGAAGAGGAATGGAACTGACTAAGTACTGAGATTATTTCTCAAGCCTATGCGCTGGGCTCCGGGCGGCTTCGAATTTCCCGCCCCCTCTCCCCTTCCTGAAGATGCGTATTGACCTCGATCACCCCCCCCCTGAGACGATGGAGGGAATTCCCCCAGACATGTCCCCAATTCAGTTTGGAGAACAACTCAAGTTAACGCGAGAACTTCGACCTTTAGCTCTGCCGTTGCGATAGTGCCGCTCGCGGATGTCTCTAGTGAGAGGCTAGGTTGCACAGGCAGGGTAAGACTCTGATACAGGAGCCTCTTATCAGTCGGCTCGCGGAGCGGCTCCGATATTCGGACACATGAGCGAGAGACCGCCTGGCTTCATTAGGCGTGGCAAGCGAGCACGTGTCCCCAGAGGTTGGTGACGAGGCTCTTCTCCTATTGGAATCTCCTTGCCTTGACCGCGGCTTCAGGCACTGTCAACCTGACTGCGGTCTTTATCGCAATTTCGACGGTTCACGTTCCCGAAGCAAGACCACTGTAAAGATTTCGGCAGTTGGCGTTCGCGAAGGTCGAACTAACTTCGGGATGGAGATCACGACCATGGATGGAGTAGACCAAACTTTACCGTTCCAATTAAGCTTGCATTTCTTTACGCGAGTATTTCGAGCGTTCACGGGCCTTGGTCGTGCTCTCACGGATGGAAGCTGCCACTCACCTGAAAAGAAAGAAATACGTGATTAGCCGGGAGTCGGCTTCGGTTTTTTTTTACTTTGGTACATGCGACTCGAAATACTGATGCCAAGGAGTTCAGACTTGTCCTGAGCAAGGCTTGATTCTGGGCCGTCCGAAGCCAGAGGTCGGCGCAAAGCAGCTCCAGGACATTCGCAAGATTCCGCTCCTCCATTCGAAAGCCTCGGTCTCGGATCCTGGAAGATCCCGCCGGACATGGTCGGCAATGTGTTTCGCAACGAGCTCGGGAAGGATGGGGCCGCTTGTAGGGATAATCCGCTGTTTTCAGTCTCAACTGGTTATTTCCACCAGTCTTTGATGGAACGCACTCAGTCGGATAAGGTGTTTGTTTGAAGCTCGGTGTGTTTACGGCGGACATACATATATGCGTCTCTTCCCTCGCGGCTTATATTATCCCGCACTAGAATCTGCGAATCTCTTGTAAACAGTGTCTTATAATCGACGCATTCGAGAGCTGTAGCGCACGGTTGCTCGCGCGCTTACGTGTACACAAAACCTCTGATAACGGAAAGCAACTTCCGTGAGAACATTCTTTTTCGCATTCGTCACCCGAACACATTCGATACTCTTCGGAACTCTGAGTAGGTACTTTCTCCGGACTTGTCGATAGCAGGTTCTCCCGCGCGAGTACCGTGTGGGTCCGCGGGGAGCATGAAATGGAGATGCATTCGGAAAACAATAACGTGTTCCATTTTTCCTCAAGGGGCAAAGCATGAAAAATGATCATTCGATGACCTTGGTGCCCCGCATCGTCCCACCGCACGAATCGTTCCGCAACACGAGCCGAACGTAAATGGCAAACCTATAGGTCCGCGACAATCGATCGTGGTTTGCGTGGATGGACTCTGTGTCTGTGTGTCGTGGTTGGTTCTTGCGGCGGAATTCCTCCCCGGAGCGAAGTCACGAAAATCGCTGCTTGTGGGATTCAGGTCCCTCGGGTAGGACTTGGGCTCAGGGAGCCAAGGCCTTGTCTTCCTGAACGAGGAATTCTCTCGATTCCGTTCATCGGAGGCCCTTTAGAGCAATGATCTTGAGGTGAGTGCCGGATTCCACCTGGTGAGCCCGGCGCTCGAGACCCACATGGAGACGGCCCGGACGGCAAGTGCTCAGAAATATTCTTTTGCCCTTACCGCTCAATTACGACAAGATCGGTCTAGAGAGATTCTCGAAGATGGAAATCTCGAGTACGGTCTGGATCGGGTGAGCGAGGTGCTATGGGAGCGACTCAAGGCGTGTCTGGCTTCTTTGAAAACAAGTCCCGACGTCAGGTCTAAACTCATTCCGATCTTCTAAACCGCATGGCGCATTCGAATCGTGCTCTCGAGGCTGGTTCCATCACCTTTGAGCTAGAGCTCCAGCTGCCAGCTACCAAGCGGCCGCGTGGGCGGGCGAATGGCTGTTTATTTCCCCGTATACCTGCTGCGGTGTTTACTGGAAACTCTCTCTGGACAATCTCGGTCAGCTTCGGTTTCAGTCATAGATAGAATCAGCTTCCGAATCCGGCTCGGCTGGTATTTTTCACGAGTTCATGCGTTCTCCCATCCGGCCGTGTGGGAGAACAGCGCTCTTCTCGGAAAGTTTTGGTGTTTCCAGTTTTTCGCTAACAAACTTTTTGACGCGAACCATCCGTGTTGTTCAGCAGCGTGAAGGAGGGAAGTTCTTGCGGGTGGCGAAAATAACATCACAAATGTTTTCTCAGGGTGTGGCAAACCGTCTCGAGTCGCAAAAAAGAACACTTCGCAGCCTTGCTTTCACGACACCGTTAGTTTCTCGTTCCTACGAGCATATCGCGGCCAATATTCGAGAAGATGGAGTAGGACAATCCGCCCGACTCTAAAGATGTCCCCCTCGAGCAATTTTCAGGAAAAAATTCAGGGGGAAAAACAATTCGACGAAGAAAAACCGGAGAAACGCTTTCACTCCCCCGGGAAATGCCGATGAATGTCGACGATCGTAGAATTTTGTGAAACTTCCAGTTTTTTAGGACTTGGCGGCTCGATCGGTGCCCAGATGAGTTTTTCCGGGCTATTCATCTCTTCAACCTCCCGCGGCTCAGCAGTCGGAGAAAAGGTGTCGGGCATGGACTGGTTACCGAGTGAGCGATGGCGATCGACACACGGAAGGAATAATGTCGAACCAATAGCGATAACGATGTAGATGAACAACTAATCCATAGAAATGAGGCCGGATGAGCGATGGTCGGTGGAAGAACGCCCGCTCGTTCGCTCTACCGCCACAAACAATAATCCTCTGTAAATGATGGCGTTCTGGACGGCCGGCGGAAGTCCATAGTTAGAAGCAGCTAGCCGACTTCAGGGCGGAGCCACATTATACATGGTGAATGATTCACGAGCTAGGTCCTCTGAACTAGAGGGCGTTCGCTTCACCCCGAAGACAGCGCATCGAGACAGCTCAAAATTGCGACAAAAATCGCTTCCGAAAGCGACGTCGACGAGCGACGAATCGAAGGCTCTCGCCTCGAACCCGACCCAACGCCCGAACTCTTCCAACGAACTCCATTAGGGGACTTGTACGTAGTCACTCATCAAGCTACAAGGTCGCGTATCGGGTACAAGCTGAACGTGCCTTGCTCGGACGCAGGGGGGTCGGGAACCAGTTGGGTCATACTCCATCAGATAGCTACTCTCTTCCCATTTCGTTTTTTCCCAAGCTTCGAGACGAGAAAGTTTTCCGCTCCATCGAAATCAGAACAACGCGCCGACGCAAACACGCTAATGAAGAGTTGCGTCGCGAGAACCGAGGGGCAGATACGTCGATCGAATTCGAATCCATCGAACGCGATCGAGTGTGAGAGTAGTTCCGAAAAGGAGATTTGCATAAGCACCCATTTTCAGATGTTCCGCGACAGGGTCAGACGATGTTGGCACAGGTCATCGGAGTGGCGGTTCCGACTCATGTATTCGCTCGAAGTCGCGGCCGATGTCTCCGACGAAGCATCGATTTATGTACACAGCTCGGATTCCATCTGCATTCGAGCAGTATCAGCCTTATGGTACGACGACGGTTCAAACTTCCTCGGCCGGCGGAGATGCGACGGACGGTTCCCTCGCTCCGAAGACGGCACTCAGGGAGACGTAATGTCGTCGTTCGGGCCGTTAGAGATACGGCGACTAAAGGGCGACAGTTCGCTCAGTCGAAGTGCGCGAACGTGTAACGTCGACGACGGAGTCGATCTTAGTCGTTCTGTAATTCCGCTATCGTGACGAGAGTCCCGAGAAAGTCGAGCGCTCCGTGGAGTCAGACATCGTCCGCGGCAGAAACAGCTTCGGCAGCTGCTGGAAACCACCTAGAACATCTGCTTCGAACTACCTGCAACAGCTGCAAGTGCGAAGAACGCGCTGAATGCAATAAGACCGAAACCCGCGCCGACACGGCACGGAACGTGCTCGTCTCGTAATCCCTGTCGAAAAAACCGAATGCAAATTCGAGTCCGGCCGTGATCGGGTCGGCGCTCGGCAAGGATACGAGAATATGTGGATTGTTCAGGCTGGCGGAGTTCCGCTGTTTTAGGAGCCTTCCCATAACATACCTGGAGCTGACATCGTACATGGATCATGTCGACACGTGGGATTCGACGGAGGCTCCCTAGGGCATAGGAGCGTTTGGGGTTCACTCCGGCGAGACGAAATCTTGTTTGCGACTGATTCAACGAGAGAAAACTCGATACCTTCTGTAGCTTGATATCGATTTCATTTTTTCTTCCTGCCTTGTAATCGATACGTGTTTGTGACGCTCGACGCAAATTTCTCTCGACGCAAGTTCGTTGAAGGTCTGTTTAGGCCGAAGAGGAA